CAAGAATTTAAGTTTGTCTAATAAATTATGTAAAAAACTTCCTTCGTGGGGTCGATAAAAAATAAACAATAAAAAAAGTGGGATAATTAGTAAGAATTTATAAGTCTGTAAAAGTTCCCCTCACTTTATCTTAGTTAAAAACTTCTTTCAATTAATTTTCTTTTGTTTACCCTCCATTTTCATAAAAATTACCTCTTGCCACTAATCCCCCCTCACAAAGACCTCAACACTCTCTCTCAAACCTCCTCACTAACCCTCCCTAATCTTTTCAACAACCTCAACTCCTTATTAAACGTATGAATGCGATTAGTTAATATTCTACTATCCACATCCAAACCCGTTTCTTTATTAGCCCTAATGGGAATCTCAAAAGATTGCACTTCCCCTTTAATAACTTCCTCAGTAGTTAAAGGCAAACCAATTACTTCCTCATCATAAATATTTTGCTGATCATTACTAATTATTAGACAAGGACGAATAGGTTTGCGACTTTCACTAGTTTTAGGGAATTCTACTAGTCAGATCTCGCCTTGATGGGGAATAGTCGTTCTTTTAGAACTTCGTATTTCACCTTGTTTAGGAATTTTCTTACTTGACTTCATCTACTTATAACTATCTCCCAAAGTCTCATCCCATACGGCTAAATCAGTTTTTAGTTTCTTATTCTTAGCCATGGCTTGGTAGCCCCTAATTAGTTTTTGTTGAAAATTCTCTTTATCTTTTTCTAACTCTTTATTTAGTTTTTCTAACACTGCTTCATTAATAAAACGACTGATTTTTCTTCCTCCTACTACTTGCCGCAATTGGTTATAAGTTTCTTCTTGTAAATAAATGTTTACACTTCTTCCTGACATAATATTATATTATACTGCCTATGTAGGGAGGGAGTGTTATTTTTTAGGTTTTTTAACTTTTAATTCTTTTTCTGGTTCTTGATTTTCTTGGTCTAAATCTGTTTCAGGAGTGGAGGCTATTTTTATTGGCTTTTTCTCTTTCTTCTTTTC